GGCGCCATGTAAGGGCTGTTTGTTCCCAGGAGAGCTCTGGGGCTGGGATAGCCACCTCTGCACGGGAGGGCTGCCCAGAGGCTCCCTGGAGCAGGACCCCGCTCCAGCTGCTCTCCGTGCTTCCAGAAACAAGTGTGTGACGACATTGGGCGGCGGCTGATGGTGCTTGGGGACACGTGGGCTCAGGGGAAGCTGTCAGCCCCTGTGAGGAAGAGGATGAACGTCCTGGTGCAAGGTGAGGGTCACAGAAACTGGATCTGGGTCAAGCCTGGGCCATCGGGCATTTGGTGCCCACTGGGGTGCTGACACGGAGCCATTGATGGGTTCCCTTTCCTCAGCAGAGCTGCAGCAACACCACTGGGACACAGCTGATGAGATCCACCGCTCACTTATGGTGGACTATGTGAATGAGGTGAGCCAGTGGCTGGTGGGTATCAAGCGCCTGATTGCTGAGATGAGAAACCTGCCCACCGTGGTGCTGGCTGAACCCAGGGATGATGGGACCAAGACCATGCCTGACCAGGAGGCTGCCTGACGCTCAAGAACGGGGCTGTAGACTGTTGGCAGTGCAGCCTGTGTCCAGGGCCACTGGCAAGAGAAGGACCCCTTGGTGCCTGAGGAGGTGTGGGTGTCTCCTGTTACTCCTCATCCTCTCCCAGGAAAGGGGGATTTTTAAGCACCATAACATTTTAGTGATGATTCACTACATTATGTTTAATAAATAGCACTAATCTGACCTGGCAGCCCTGGTACTCTGGGGCAGGCTGGGTCCTGTCTCTTCAGTGAGCAGCCAGAGATGCTGGGTGAGGTGAGAACAGCTTCAGGCTGGTCTCAAGGAGTTCTCACCCCAGTAGGGAGGTCCCAGCCCCACAGCACATTAAGGGAGGTGCAGCTGAAGCTGCTGTGATAGAGGAGTGGTATATTTTCCTGCTGCATTGGTTGGGAAATTTGGGACCCTCTAGCCAAGCCTTTGGCAGTGGTGGGGAAGAGTCAGAGGAACAGGCCAGCAGCCCATCTCTTCTGCAAGGAGACAGGCCTTGGGGAAGTCTTAGGGTGGCTGTGTGAGCCAACATGCAGCCATCCTCAAGCAGCATGGCATGGGCTGCTGCAGCTCAGCTCTGCCCACATGATGACACCAGTCCTTACTCTCAGCAGCCGGGCACCTGTCCACCCTCACACATCTCAGACCCAAGCATGGGACCTGGAGACTCAACCCCAGGTGGCCCCTAAGGCAGTGGGGAAATCCAAGCAGAAACGTCATAGTGCTGGCTCTAAGCTCACCAGGCTGTCAGCTCTGGACAGGTGCAGGGAGATTGCCTTGTCTCCAGCCTGCACTTGCAGGAGTGCCTCCTCCACCTGCCCTGACCATGGCTGGCACAGCACCATGACTGTCCTGAGTACCCAGCTGGAGCAGGATGGGGAACATGTGGCATCCCAAGCCTAGCAGCAGATTCAGGTGCTCAGGCCCACACATTTCCAAGGCTGCCGGAGAGCTATCAGCTGTACTGCAGGCCTCAGCAGCACTATCCCTGACCCTGGGAGTCCTGCATTCACCCTCCAATGTCTCATTGCACAAAGGAGAAATCCTGGGCACCCTGAAAGGTCAGCTTGGCTCATCCTGACTACCCTCCCCAGAACGGCAAGGGCCCAGCCTGGACCCCAATGCAGAGAGGCACCAGCCCAGCACAGGGGTTTCATGGTGTTTATTGATCAAGCGCGAACTCCCCAGGCAGTCGCACCAGCCAGTTGTGCCAGAGCGCATGAGGTGTCACGTGTCCATCCCCAGCATCACAGAGAGGGCTGCAGCCAGCCAGTCGCAGTGCCAGCACCTCCACGAGGCCCAGGAACAGGCCCAGCCATGGCCTGGAGACGAGGAGCTGAGAACTCAGATGTCCATCTCAAACTGGTCTTGATCTGGAAGGGCAGGGAGGGAAGACAGGGCCAGGGTTAGGATGGGGCTGCCTTGAAAGAAACACGTAGGTAAATGGGCTGCTGCAGGGGCAGGAGACTAGATAGGGCTAAACAGAACACTGGGCTGAGCCAGGGTCTCTCCTTGCCCTTGTGGCCAGGTGGGAACCCCATGCCCCAGATAGCATGGTCCTATTCCCCTGTTTGGGCAGGCGATGTGGTTCCTGGGCTGCTCACCTGGCATGGTTTCTTCGCTCTCATTCTGCTCCTTGAGCTCCCCCAGCTTGACGAGGCTGGGCTGGGCCGGGGAGGTGACACCGGGGATCTGGGGCAGGCAGCAGGGAGGGGTCCTGGCCACGGGTGAATTCTTGCACTCCAGCAGGAACTTGCGGTCGTAGATGATGCGGGTACCTGCCAAAAGCAGGGGGCAGTTAGGCACCATTGGCCCCTGGCAGCCCCCTCCCCCCACTGCCATGGCCAGAGCCTAAGCCCAGAGCAGAGGGAAGGAAGGGGCCTGACCCAGCGCTCAGCCACAGCTGGGAATCACAGCTGTGTTTGGAGACATCATGGGAGTTCCTGGCAGGACAGAGTGTGAAACCCATCCTGCACCGCAGCTGTTCCCTGCATCGTTCCTCCCAAAGCTCCAGGAGCCCTGCTGGGGCGCAGCGTGAGATGGGAAGAAATGTCTAGATTCCCCAAGGCAGCCCACATGGTGCTAGGAAGCCATGGATCCAGGCAGCTCCAAAATCAACCTTTGTGCTGCCTGCAGCACTTCAAGCAGGCTTGCCCTAGGTACAGACGAGGTTTGGCTGCCACACAGCAGATGTGTCCCCAGTGCATTCCAGCATCCAGGAGCCCTGCACTCTGCCGTGCAGTGGCTTCTGGGGTGGATCGCTTCAGCTTTCAATAGCAAAGACCCAGTGTGCCCCCCATTAGCTTCATGGGGAGGCATAACTGAGAGCACTGTTTCCATCAGCTCAGCCGAGCAAGGCACCCCTGTGTTCCCTGCAAAGGGAGAACGTGTTGGGTTAGACAGGACACCACGTTATGGGTGTCAGCTCTTTGGGCGTGCTCCCACAGCAGCACCTGCTCCAGGTGCTGCCATGGGGAAGGGCATAGAGCGCAGCCTCTCCCTGCACATGAGCATCTGCAACGATCTCCGAGACTGAACCAGCCTGTGTGACACTTCTGCTCCCCTTCACAAAGGCCAGCCATTCCCCTCCCTGCTGGCAAGGGGGCCCAGCTGTCCCCACAGGAGGCCAGGCTGGTGGGTCCTGAGGGGACAGAGCAGCATTTCCAGTGCCAGGTTGCCGATGGCAGAGGGCAGCCGAGGGCAGCAGCTGGTGCAGCAATAGCTCTGCCCAGAACTCCCTGTACAGGCTGGGCCCTTCCCAACACAACAAACACGTTACACACCCCGGGGAGGGGCCTGCCGCAGCCATGCCAGCACTTGGCCCAGCTCCCTCAGTCCCAAGATAAGGCTTATCAAGGGCACACAATGGGACCAGCGCCCACTGCAGCCCAACTGAAACCTGCTCTGCTCATGCATGCGGGGCAGTGCTACCCCAAGGACAGGTAGCACTGGGCAGCTGCCTGGCCTGGCCTGCCTGTAGCTGAATCGGGGATTTTGCTGAGGGCTGAAAGAGGAGAAATAGGGTGAGCTGAAGGTACCCTGTGGTGCGAGCTGTGCCACTCTGTTCCTGCCCGCAGGGCTGGAGAGCTTAGCTCCACGCAGTTTTGTGCTGGTCTCTGGCACCTCCTCCAGCTTCAGCCAGCCTTACCAAGGCAACTGCATGGCCATGCTGCCAAGCACAACCCTGTCCTAAGAGGGAGCAGGACTACATCCAGCCGCTGCAGCAGCATTGCCTGGAGCTTGTCCCCCAGTGATGCAGCCCAAGAAAGTCACAGTCTCCGCATGGGACAGCAAGCGGCACAGGGCAGTGATGGCCTCTGCAGCAGCTGTACCTGCCTAGTAAAGCCTCTCTGCAGAGCTTTACGCTCCCTTACCTGCCCCACCTCTGAGCTGCCAAGGAAGTAACACACACTGGGAACGCGACCTGCCTGGGACGGTGCTGCTGGATGCCGAGGCCATGGCATTGCAGCAGGAGGCCCGGGCGTCAGGACCTTGCAGGTTCCTGCTGCACCCTCAAGTGCCGAGCTGCCTCTGCAGCCCGGGACCCATTTTCGAGGCAGAGGGGTGCAGCTGGCGTTGGCTGGGCAGCAGCAAAAGGTGGGAAGAGGCGAGATCAGGCAGGGCGAGCCCAGGGTGCCTTTCCCTGGGGCTACCTGCAGAGGCCCCTGGCCGGTTGGGGACAGGACCAGCTCTCCTAGACCGGTGGAGCGCACATAGCCCCCGGCCCCGCTCCCACCCCGGCCGGGCCCTGTGGGCACGATTGCCATTCGT